AATAAGAAATGTTAAAGGGAAATCTGAGTGGAAAGAAAAGGCCATAATCAGGACTAAGAAAAATAAGGAAGGAAGAAATTTCACAGGCAAATACAAACATAACAAATGTATTAGACTAATTGGTTTCAAGACCAATCTCGAGGTTAAAGCAGAAAGGCAGTAAAATCAATTATATCTATAAAAATCAGTCAAGAGATTCATAGCTAAAAGGTTGTAAAGGTTGACTCCATATATATAAAGCATTGGGGTAGGAGGCATAAAGAATGGGTTCAAACTTAAGTGACCATCAACTTAATAAAGGCTGCTATGTGCACAACATTTACATGCAAACCTAATGGTAACCACAAATCCAAACCCTGTAATCAATATGCAAAAAATAAAGAGAAAAGAATCTAAGTATATCACTAAAAAAATGCCGTCAAACTATAAGAAGAGAGCCAAAGAAAAAGGAACAAAGAAGAACTAAAAAAAGAAGCATACTTATCAAAAATGACAGTAAAAAAAACAAGCATATTTATCAATCAACAATTGGGTTGTGAAACAACCACATGTTCCAAACAAAAGACATATATGAGCAAGAGCATAAAAAAGCGAGACCCATGTATAAGCTGCCTACAAGAGACTCCGTTCAGACCAAAAGATTCATGAAGATTGAAAGCAAACTCATGCAGAAACATGCAATTGGAAGTAATACCAGAGCAGCAATACTTATATCAGGCAAAATAGTCTTTAAAACTAATACTGTTGGAAAAGACAAAGACATAATCATAAAAAAAGAGAGTCCAACAAGAAGATATAATAATCACAGACGATTTGTTTGCACCCAACATGGTAGCACCCAGATATGTAACCCAAGTATCAACACACATGTAGGGAAAAATCATAAGGAATACAATACTAGGGGATTTGAACACCCCACTGACATCAATGGCTAGATCATCCAAACAGAAAATCAGAAAATCAAAAAGGCAACAGTGGCTTTGAATGACACACTGGACTAGATGGATGTAACAGATACATCAGAGGATGGCTTTCTAACCAGCAGAATGTAGATTGTTTTCAAGTTTAAATAAAAAAAATACATGGAGAGGAATGAAAATGAAAGCACAATGGTCCCAAAATCTTTGGGATGAAGAGAAACTATTCTAAGATGGAAAACTCTAGAAATATAGGCGTATGTCAAGAACAACAACAGCAACAAATCTCATGAAAGCAAGCTGCTCCTACATCTAAAGGAGCTAGAAACACAAGAAACAAAACACAATACTAGGGTGTAATGAAGATTATGAATGGAATAAACACAATTGAAATCAATCAATCAATCAATCAATCCCCCAACAATCAAAAAGATCAATGAAATAAGGAGCTAGTTCTCTGAAAAGATCGACAAGAATCGAGAGAGAGAGAGAGACAGAGACAGAGACAAGAGGATTTAAATAATCAAAATCAGAAGATAAGGAAAAGTAACTACTGACACCACAGAAAGTTAAAGGACTGTAAGAGAACACATTGGACAGCTTAGGAAAAAAAGGCTAAATTTTTAGAAACATACACCCCTCCATACCTGATGCAAGAAGGAATAGAAAATGTGAACAGACTGATACCTAGCAATGAAATGGGATTATAATTCAAAACACTCCCAGCAAAGTCCAGGACCACACACCTTCAAAGATGAATTCTATTAAACAGTTAAGAAGAGTTAATAACCTATTCCTCTGAAACAATTCCAAAAAACAGAAGAGGAAGGAAAACTTCCAAATTCATTCTGAGAGGCCAGCATTACCCTGAGACCAAAAGTAGATAAAGACACTAAAAAAAAAAGGAAATAACAGGGCACTAGCTCTGATGAATATAGATGCAAAAAAAAAGCTTAAATAAACTTAACCAAGGAGGCAAAAGACCTGTACTCAGAAAACTGTAACACACTGATGAAGGACATTGGAGATGACACAGACACATGGAAATGTGGAAATATATACCACACTCATGGACTGGAAAACTCAATAAATGTTCAATGCCTATAGTATGCAACACAATGTGCAGATTCAATGCAAGCCCTATCAAAATACAAATAAACAGACCTAAAAAAAAAACCCTTAGAAGAGTCCTGAAATCCTAAAATTGGAACCACAAAATACTTTGAATATTCACGGGAAACTTGAAAAAAAAAAAAAAAACAAGAACAAATCTGGAGCTATCATAATTCCAGATTTCAAGATATAATAGAAAGTGTAGTAATCAAAACATTATGGTATTTGTACAAAAATAGACACAACATCACTGGAACAAAATAGAGGACCCAGAAATAAACTCACAATTATATGCTCTATGAATCTATGCAATGGGAAAAAGGCATTCTCTTCAAAAAATGGAGTTGGGAAAACTGGAAAGCTACATGCAAAACAATGAAACTGGACCAGTTTCTGATATCATTTGTAAATGTAAACTCAAATGCATTGAAGACCTAAATGTGAGACCTGAAACCATAAAAATCCTAGGAGAGAACAAGAAGTGTCCGACTTTAGGTATAGCAACGTTTTTTGAGGCAGGGGAAACAAAACCAAAAATAAACTATTGGGACCACATTAAAAAAAAAAAGGTTTGTACAGTGAAGGAAACCATCAATAATCAAAAAGACAATCTACTAAATAGACAATATTTGGTAATGATCTATCCAATGAGGGGTTAATATCCTAACTGATGAAACTCAACATCAAAAAACCCAAGTAATCAAATTTCAAAAATAAGCAGAAGACATGAACAGCCATTTCTCCAAAGAAGATGTACAGATGGCCAACAGACACATGAAAAGATGCTCAACATCACTGACCATCAGGAACTAAAGCCCAATGAGATGTCACCTTACACTTTTCAGAGGGATTGAAATAAACACACGTACGTGCGCACACGTGCACACACACACACACACACACACACGAAACAGGTACTGCTGAAGATGTGGAGGAAAGGAACCCTCCCACGTTGTTGATGGGAATGCAAACTGGTGCAGCCAATCTGGAAAACAGTATGGAGGTTCCTCAAAACGTTAAACATAGAGTTGCCCTGGGATCCAGCAATTGCACTACTAGGTAATTACAGAAAGGATACAAATACACAGTTTTGAAGGGGGTACTTGCACCTTGATATTTATAGGAGCATTATCTACAATAGCCAAATTGTGGAAAGAGCCCAAGTGTCCATCCACGGATGAATGGATAAGGAAGTATATGATCTATACCAGAATATTACTCAGCCATGAAAGAGAATGAAAGCTTGCCATATGCAACAACTTGGATGGAGCTAGAGAGCATTGTGCTCTCTAAGCAAAATAAGTAAGTCAGAGAAAGAAAAACGCCATAGTATCTCACTCATATGTGGAACTTAAGAAACCAAATAAATGATCCTAGGGGGATAAAAAAAGAGAGACAAGTCAAGAAATAGACTGTTAACTACAGAGAAGAAACTGATGGTTCCCAGAGGGGAGGTAGGTGGGAGGATATGTGAAATAGATGATGGGGAATGAGTGCACTCATCATGATGAGCACTGAGTCATGGTTAGATGTGTTGAATCACTGTTTCTACCCCCTGAAACTAATATAACACTGCATGTTAACGATACTGCAATTTTAAAAATCAAAAATAAATAAGTACAAATAAATAAATAAATAGAATCTTGAAATAATTTCTATTTTCTTATGCCAAGAACAACCTTAGCTTAATTTGTTTTATTCTGTCTATCTCTATACATGTTGGGTCTTTTTGTTTAATCACACAGTTATCAAGCTTTGTAAACCTTGTGGCGTGTTCCAATGTAAAAGAAGTTTCACTGAGTAAAATCTAGCCCTTACAGTGTCTCTTACATATGGTGCCACTAATTCCCCTATAGATAAAGGAATTTTATTACTGAAGGTGTCTTTTAATTGAAGAACATAGCAAATATTTATTCATATTTTGCACTGTCTTAGATCATCACTAACTTGATATATGGACTTACTTCTTGCACTGAACAATATATCCTGGAGATGAGAGCATAGCAGTGTACAGGGTGTTACTCCTTTGTACACTTGTCCAGTCATCTATTTTGTGGCTGTAACATTTCCTGCTGAAGAACATTGGATTTTTGTGTTTTACCATTTCAGTCAGTGCTGCGATTAATAGTTTTGAGCAGACATATTTTGTATTTTTTTCCAGTTTTGTTCTTTTTCCCCAGCTTTATTTAGGTAAAACTGACAAACAAATCATATATATTTCAAATGTACAAGGTGATGATTTGAGATATATATACATAAGGTGGAATGATTACTGCAACAAAATTAATTAACACATCCATCACCTCACATATTTATCCTTTGTGTGTGGGGTGAGCAGGCGGAGGGTCTACTCTTTTGCAAATTTCAAGTATTGTTGTTGTATTATTGCACAGTTTACTAAGTATAGTCATCTTGCCACACATTCACCTTGTAACTGAAAGAGGTGTTCTTTCAGCAGCATTACATATTTCCCCCACTTTCCAACCCCCTGCCAGCCATTAATCTACTCTCAATTTCTATGGCCCAGGTTCTTCAATGTGAGATCACTGGGGCAAAGTGTAAATGAGTGTGTAACTTTAATGGAGATGGCCTAATTCACCACATTACAGGCAGATCATTTTGTGCAAACACCAACATTGCATGACAACAACAATTTTCTACCGTTTCACCCATGGAATGTCATACTATGCAATCTCCTCCAGTGTAATGATATGATAAATGATATGTTAGTGATATGACATTTCTAATTGGCATTCCTCTTATTAGATGAGGGATCGGATATGATTAAGAAAAACATTTGTAATTTTTAAAAATTTCCACTTAGATTTGTCACAACCCTCTTGCCTCTTATTCCCTAACCTCTCAAGTTCAGACGCAAAATATGCTGAGAGCAACCAAGGGGTGTTGATTGTAATATGCAAACCTTGGACTATGTCCCTGTCTTATGTACTTGTCCCTCTCACAACATACCCCAGATAACGGTTTTCCTTAGCTGATGTTTCTCTTTCATTTCTGGTGACACATGTTCAGCTCACCATCTGTTATGTTCTTAAATAAAATGATAAGTCTAGAAAGGACAAGGAGGATATCAGTCACCTTAATTGAGAATCTATTAATGATCAGAATGTATGCATTCCCAGCAAAATGTCAGGAACACCAAGATGCACTAGGTATGCATTCATTTAAAAATCACTTTTGAGGAACTACTGTGTGCACAGCCATTTTTTAGTAGATGTCAGTAGAAAGACCAGTGCTGGCTATGAAGTAACCATCATACAAGGACTAAGATCATCTGAAGGAAGGATTCTTTAGAGCTGATTGCTCTTACTATCAAATAATAGTCACTAAGTGGGTAGTTTGTTCAAGAGTATATTATGGAAATATCCGTGATACACCTTGAGGGCAGTGGAACAGGACTGCTTCAACGGAGCCTGAAGTCAATGTTCCAGGCACCAGCTACCAGGACAACACTGAGAAGAATCAGGAACTGGTTGCTTCACTTTTCCCATTATCATTCCTGACATGCTGAAGTAGAGAGGCTTGTCCAGAGCCCACAACATCCTTAAAATTCTCTTCTCTAAGAAGAACTTTAGCATCATTTGCCACACACTCAAGGAAATAAATTTTCAAATAGAAAATATTCTGAACATACATAGTAGTGACAATGAGTCCTCCACTAAATTCTGCTCTGGATTTTTCCACATATGTCAACAATTTTTTCTCTAATGACTCCTCATCCTTCTCAACTGATAGCAAATGGGGAGACCTGAGGTTCATCTTGAGTTTCCCTATTGACACGTTCAAGTGCTTGGCTATGGTTTCTAGGGATGCATCATCCAGCCCAAAGTGAGACCTGTAGAAGCTTAAAGTTTCCTCCAGCTTCACCACATCAATATCAATGATCGAACTCATGAAAGGTATGGTCGCCAAAACTCCAGCCTTCAGGGCGTCCAACCAGACCTTCTGTCTCAGGGAATCCCTTCTCTGGTCAATGGCAGCCTCAGCAACAGTTGACAGGTATTGCATGAAGATGTGCTGCTTTTGGTGCTTGTGGGTTGGGAGCTCCCTCAGAAGCGTGGTCTCTAGGTGTTGGAAATCATAGTCAGACAATTCAAGGCTGGAGACTAAGAAGATCTGAGTGTCACCCATATTAACATTCTCCAAATGAGTCACGTAGTCATTGCGGATCCTTTGCAGGATTTCATCCCTATTGAATGTGCTGGGTTTAGAGGTTCTTAGATGATTTAAATCAAGGTCCACTTTAGTTCGGACAAAATAGAAATGCTTCTTCATTTTCCTAATTGCTATAGCCAGATCCAAATCATTCATTTTGAGGTGTACAGCAGAGATGATAATAAAGATATCATACTGCCCAAATTTCATTTTCTGTAGATACTCATGCCATGGAAGTAGAGTGGTTCCCAGGCCAGGCAGGTCCCATAACATCACATTGGGAAACTTTTTGTATTCGTATTTGGCTCTCTCCAAGGTTATCTCCACTGGCCCAGTGTGGGCAGCATTTTCATCGTCTTGCCCGACTCCCAGCAGGGCATTGATGAAGCTGGACTTCCCTGCCCCAGACTCCCCTATCACAGCAATGTTCAGAGGGGCATTGTCAATGTCTCTCAGTGCATCATTAATTGCAGAAACTGCTCTCTGAAGGTCCCCCTTCTCCAGGTGTGACTGAATCAATGTGATGGCTTCCTGAGAGAGCATTTCACTTTCTAGTTTGAAGTCCTTAAAAAACTTGTCAAAGCTGGAGATCAAATCACCACCCTCTGTAGGAGAGGGTGTGGAAGAGGAAGAGGAGGACTGACCCATGGCTGGAGCAGTAGAAGGCACTATGGGGAGGAGACAAGAGGGAAGGAAAAATAGTTAGTGCAACAAGGGGTGGCTTGGGCTGTGCTGGTAAGGACAGGTATAACATCAGTTCTGGACACGACATTGTATCCAGAAGCCCTTCTTTTTCTGTCTAGGCATTGTGTGGACTTCTGACCTGGATGTAAAGTTTGCCCTAAAGTAACTTCTAAAGTTACTTGCTCAGGCTCTTTCCTTATCTTGGAAAGCTCTTTTTCTTTAAGGTACTGTTCAGTCTTGCAGACTAATTTTTCTATCCAAACTTTCTTGACTACATTATCCTTTATTTATCTTGCTTCACTTGTCTTTATATGTAATGTTATGAAATTAGTATTTCTTCATGTGGCAAATCTAAGAAAACAGCACCAGCATTTACCCTCACACCCCTTCCCATCTGAGGTGTGAGTCCCTCCAGAACGTCCTCTTCTGATCACCTCCCACCTCATGTCATGGACTTTGGTTCTCATATGGGGCAGCTAAATAAGGATGAGTGGCTCCTTTCTTTCTCAGAAAAGATACTGTATACTTCCTTAGGAGATAGAAACTTTTAATGGTTGCAAATGTGGTTTCTTTTAACTAGAAAGTATGTTGGCTCATGGAACAAGGTGTGGAAAAGACTCTTTCTGTTTTACCTGGAGCAGAAACAGCAGGTGGTATGGATTCTCATGTTCTAAGAAGTCATGCTGGACTATCCACTTGGAACTTTCTATGGACCATCCCAACTGTCCCGAGATCCCACACATCCCCTGCCTCTTGCCTGTGTATTAAAGGGGACAGAACAGAACAGAAGTCAGGGAGATATTCACCTAGTGGACATGATGAACTATAGGAAATTGTCAGTATAAAGAGCTGTATAATGTGTCACTGATGTAACAAATGATGTTAACAAAGACTGAAGCTGATTGGAATGTGAGGCAGCCATGGTAAAGAGGTCTGTCTGACCTCATTCTCTGAGGTCAATGAAATAAAGTTGGTTCTGGAATCTTGGACCTCTCTAATCACTGGAGGCTTATATCTTGAGAGGGGGCACCAGGAGAAATCCTGTACCCAGCACTAAAGGTAATGTGAAAGATTTGTATACTATTCCCTATAGAGATGAAGAACAAAATTTTTAGACCAGGAAACAAGTCACTTCAAGTCACCACTGATGTCTGGGTAGGATGCAGGCTGGACAAGTGTCTTTGACTTACAGTGAGGGATCAGACACTTCTTCCAGGGGCCTCCTGGCAGCCAGAACTGCAGCCCAGAAGAGAGGATGGTGAAAACAAATTGGAGAAGAAGTTTTCCAGACCAAGTGTACATTGTTTGGAGTTCCACACATATGAAATGGGCATGCAAACATTCTCCTTAGAAGAGTAAAGTGTGGCAATATAGCTTGTCAAGGGTGAAAGGGGCACTAGAAAGTATACTGATAGATTCTCTTCTCTCCTCTTAGGAGAACAACCTTGCCTACAACAATGGATCTTTGCCAATCATTGTTTTTCTGCTTTCTCTCTTCACTTAAAAACCTTTCTACTTCTACAGCTCACTGGAGTTCCTTTCTATTCCCTAGATGGGACACTACCTAAATCAAAAATTATTTAAGAAAAAAAATTATTTAAGAAAGCCAATTAGGTCTTTAGAATTTACTTGGTTGAATTTGTTTACTAGATTTGTTGGCAGTGTCTAGATTCAAAGCAAACTTCTGACAGTATTTGGGGACAACAAGGAAACAGGTGTGGTTTCCCACAAATCCTTTTGAGTTCATGTTCTCTCTCAGCATTTCCATGGCCATTGGTAAGGCCATCTTGTTTTGAGCTCTGCTCTCTTTTGCATGAGAGCTTCTGATTGAATTGGCAGTCCAGGGTTAATGAATCACTCTGTCACAGACACAGCAGGCAGTGACAGAGCACAAGGCCTTAGCCCATGGTTGAGTCCAGAAATTCACATTGGAATTCCTTCCCCAGTCCAGTCCACAGTCTGTATTTACTGCTTTTTGCTGGCTTAGGCTGTTCCCTGTTTCTTGTCTGCAGTCTTTATTAATGGAACCTGCTGGTTTAGGTCATGACGGACAATGATGATAATGTGTAGAAGGCACTCTATGGGACAGTCCAGAGTAACTTCTAAAACTAGCCCCTGGCTGTGAACTCAGATTCCAAGTTGGCAACAGTGGGTGGCAGCTCCAGTTCTCCGTGTGTGTGGAATCAGGTGGCGGTCCCTATTCTCCCTATTTTTGGAGGTGTGCTGTTCAATCCTTGTCCTGTGCCCAAGTTCTTTGGTTACTGGTATGTGCATAGTTCTACTACCTGAGTACTTTGGTTTCTCTTAATAGTCCATGAGATAAAGGCTTAGCTTAAAGATAAACAATAGATAAACAAGTGAATAAATAACCAAGTGAAACATAAACGGAATCCTTAAAAATCCAAAGAGGTAAGTGCTCTTCCCTGGGCACATTGTTTATTTTACACCTAAGAATGATGGTTCTGACTGTTACACTGTTGGTGGGAGTGCAGAGAACTGGTGCAGCCACTGGAAAACAGTGTGGCATTTCCTCTGAAAGTTAAAAATAGGACTGCCCTATGACCCAGTACTTGCACTAGCAGGTGTTCACTAAATGTTACAAAATTACTGATCCAATGGGTTATGTGCACCCTGAAGGTTATAGCAATCTTATCTATAATAGCCATATTACGGAAAGAGCTCAAATGTCCATCAACTGAAGAATGGATGAGGAAGATGGGCTACAGATATATACCACATGCACATATATAACTGAATATTATGCAGCCATAAAAATATGAAATCTTGCCATTTGCAATGCCATGTACAGAGGTAGAGTGTATTACACTATGTAAAATAAGCCAGTGAGTGAAAGAAAGAATAACACATTATTTCACTCATATGTGGAATTTAAGGGAAAAAAATGATCATAGTGGGCAAAAAAAAAAAAAAAAAAAAAAAAGTGAGGTGAACCAAGAAAGAGACTCCTAAGTAGAGACAAGAAACTGATGGTTACCAGAGTTATGGGTTGGGTGAAATAGGTAATAGGTATTAAGAGTGCACATATTGTGATGAGCACCAGATATAAGTAAGTGTGGAATCACTACATTATTCACCTGAAGCTGATATTACACTTTATGTTAATTATCCTGAATTTAAACAAAAACTTAAATAAAAAAAAGAACTATGGTACTGGAAGCCATAAAAGTCTACAAGCCTGTTTTGTGTCCCAAATAACTTGCCTTGGTACCCTTCAGGTTGGGAGCCACAAAATAAGGCCAGACAAACATTTATCAGTTGCCTCCTATTTGCTATTGGATATAGGGGGACAGAAATGTGTGTTAACCTCCATTTAAGGCTAGCTTCATAACAAACTGCTGTCAGCACTCAGAGCTAGTACAATAGCCATTATGAGGACTGTAAAACACAGAAGAAAGAAAATGCAAGCGACACAAAGAAATGGAAAGCGTTTTCATGTTCATGGGTTGGAAGAATAAATGTTGTTAAAATGTCTCTACAATCCATAAAGTCTACAGATTCCATGTAAGATCTACAAACATACCAACAACATTTTTCACAGAAATGGAATGAATACTCCTAAAATTGGTAGGGAACCACAAAGGAAAGACCCAAAGAGCCAACACCACCTTGAGAAAGAAACACAAACCTGGAGGTATCACAACTCCAGACTTCAGGTTAGATTACAAACCCATAGCAATCAACACAGTATGGTACTGGCCTAAAAATAGACACTGAGCTCAATGGAACAGAGTAAGACACCCAGGAATAGCCCCACAATTATATATTTAATTAATCTTTGACAATGCAGGAAAGAATATACAATGGGCAACAGACAGATACTGTTGGGAAATCTGGACAGCTAAATGCCAAAGAATGAATCTGGAGCACTGTCTTATCCCACCTACAAACACAAACTCAAAATGAATTAAAGATGTAAAGTGAGACCTGAAACCACAGAAGAGTGCACATGCAGTGTTGTCTCAGACAGAAGTCACTGTAACAGTTTATAGGTAGGTCTTCAGAGGCGAGGGAAACTTAAGCAGAAATAAACGATGAGGACCACATCAAAATTAAAAGGTTGTGCATGGTGAAGTAAACTCTCAACAAAACTAAAGGACAGCCTATTGAATGGGAACAGGTGTTTGTGAATGACATATGTTATGATGAGTTAGTATCCAAAATATATAAGGAACTAATACAAGTAAAACCATAAAAAAATTCAATTACTAAAATAGGCAGAAGACGTAAATAGCAATTTCTCTAAAACAGATATCCAGATGGCCGATAGACACAAAAATGATGCTCGACACCACTTATCTTGAGGGAAATGCAGATCAAAACCACAGTGAAACATCACCTCATGCCTGTGAAAGGCTAACATTAAAAACACTAAGTACAAAGGTGTTAGTGTAAATGTGGAGGAAAATGAATCCTCTTGCACTGCTGGTAGGAAAGTACACTAGTGCAGTTAGTGTGGAAAATAGCTTTGAAGTTTCTAAATAAGTTAAAAGTAGAACCATAGAGTCCAGTAATCGTGCTACTAGGTATTTACCCAACAAACACGAAGACACCAGTTCAAGGGGATGCATTATCTCTATGTCTATTGCAGCATTACTTCCAAAAGCCAAATTAGAGAAGCCGCCCACATGTGCATAGATAGATAAAGAAGATGTAGAATTTAATACTCCATGGAATATTACTCAGCTATTAAAAAGAATGAAATCTCGCCTTCTGCGAAGACATGAATGGGGCTACAGTGTATAACAAACAGTAAGCCTCTTGCACTAGTCAGAGAAAGACAAACACCATATGATTTCACTGATTTGTGGAATTCAAAAAGAGAACAAATGAGCAATGGGGAAAAAAAAAGAAGAGGAAGACACAAAGTCAAAGACAGACTCCCCACTAAAGAGAACAAACTGATGGTTACCAGAGGGGACGGCGGTAGAGGATGGGTGAAACAGAGGGTGGGGGTTGATAGTACATTTATCGTGAAGAGTACTGAGCATTGCATAGAACTGTTGAATCACTATCTTGTATCCCTCTAACTAATATAACAGTATCTGTTGACTATACTGGAATTAAAATAAAAAATGTAAAAAATAATAAAAATAAAAACACTATATTGTGACTAACATAACATAGTAAAAAAATAAAATAAAAAATAATAAAAATACCTTTGAGAATAAATGACTAATTTCTCATGGTGTCTGATGACTCATTTTAGAGGTAACCTAAGGGTAATTCTTAAGAACAAGTATAGTGAATAAATCTTTAAATAACATTTTTAAAAGTTGTAGGTAAACTTTAAAGTAGTTTTCAAAATCTTTTGGATAACCTAATACCTCAAAGTTTTGTTTAAAGTAACAATTTAACTTAAGGTCATTAAATATCTAGATTATTTCCAAGTAAGATAAAAAAATGAAATATTAATTACTACATATGGTTTCTTTAATTTCGGTTTTTTTATTACATGGAAACTAAAGATAAATATAGGTCTTCTGGTAAATGTTTTGGCATGTTTATTTGAAAGATTGTACTACAAATAGCACGTTTCCAGGAGAAAATATTAAATGTTTTTATGAATTTGCAATCTAAAGAACTCTGAAGTAACATACATTTAATCAGGGCTTACCCTTTATTTTCCTAGAAACTGAAGTTTCTAGGGGTGAAGAACGCTAATTAATGTGAGTTGTTAAGGTACAAAAATAAAAAAGGAAACATATCTGAATGAAACAGAAGTAGGACATGTGCTTTTGGTAAAAATAAAATAAAATAAAAAAAAATAAAGAGTATGAGGGCTGGAGATGCACTTTCTTTTTTTTTTTTTTTTTTAAGGCAAAAGAAGTAGAAAGATTGAAAGTGAGTCTCTGGAAAGGAATTGTATGCACTGTCAGGACTAACATTGGAATGAATCCATTCTAATACAAAAGTTGCAAAATCAGAATTTGATTTCCTATCTGTTAAAAAGACAAAGTTTCTGTGGCTTTTTAACATGTGGTATACTTTTGGGAATAGCTTCTGAAAGTTTCCTTATCATTTAAGTGATCTTCCTAGAATTCAAAGAGCCTATATTTTACGGTATAGTTGTATAGGTATATAAGTCTTATAGAAATGATGTGAACTTCATGGAAATATGCTCTGTCCTGGTATAATTTTATCACTTGTAATTACTGTCTTACCTTCTGAAATTGCTGTTGTCAAAACAGGCTCACTCTAAAAGGACTTGAACCAGAGTGCTAGGAAAATGCCCTAGCTGACTCTCACGCAAAGGCAGCCGGCCAAAGAATCTATAAAGGATGGGGCACATGTGAGTAACATCCATTCTGCCTCTGCAAAAATGTCCCCTCATTGTGGGGTTTCTGCCATGCTGATGTCAGGGTAACATGGCAACCCTCTGCTTCTGAGTCAGAGAAAAGGAGATAGATAAACCATGGCCATAAGTTGAACAGTCAGGGCTTTGGGAAACCCAAGACATCTGTCTGCTTGATACTTCCTGGATTACTGGTAAAACCCCCCTCCCTTTTTTTTCGTTTTGTTTTCATTCCTTCACCCATTATAGTGCATTTAAGATGACTCAAGCTATGACTAGCTATTAGTGAGGACACTCATATAAAATGGTGGAAATAGTCTACCAGCCATGTGGGACTTCTCAGGTCCATTATCCTGGAAAAATTATTTGTGCCTCCAGAGTTCTCACATGTATTCCCTCTGGACTTTGAACACCTGCAGATGGATTTCATTCAGTTGCTACCTAGTATGGGTTATTAATATGTTCCTGTTATTATATGTATATGTTTGTAATAGGTTGAAGATTTCCTCTGCTGCAAGGCTGATGCCCTCATGGTGGCAAGGCAACTATTAGAAAATGTGTTTGCTACTTGCAATATAGCTTCCACAATCTCTGGTGATCAAGACAGCTGCTTCCTTGGATAAATGATATTAGCCTTAACAAAACCTTGCAAACTTCTTGGAATTGTCACTGGTCCTATCACCCATAATCATGATGCAAGTTTCAGAGATCTAACAGAAGGGTTAAACTTAAAAATTATAAACCCGCCCAAACTACGAGGTTTGCCTGCCCTAAGGGATTACCTTTGGACATAAGATCACTCAGCAAGCCACTTGGTCTTTCTTTGACATATTTAATTTTGACTCCTTAGTCTTGGATACCATGGCTTCAAACTGACCTCTAACATGTATCCAATAATTAGGAACCTTATGCTGTTTAGAAAAAACACAAAAATCTGACAGGTACATTGTCTTCTTTCCACATTTTCAATGCATGTTCAGGGAACTAACCACTAAGCAAATAATCTCCCTGAGGCTGGAACATCAGAGAAGGAATGAAGAGCATGGATGATCCAAAGATTGTGAACCTGAAATCATCACTTGTGAGCATCATAGAGGTTAAGCAAAACATAATGACATACGACTACCATGCAAGGGATCAACAAAAGCTGTGAGAAGCACTGAACAGTAGCTGGAAGTGGCCCCAGTTGCTCACACTTTGATCACATCTCCAAGTTCAGCTGAGAGTTGATCAAGAGGGGGGGAACTGTGAGACAGGGCCACAGGGTCACAGGACCATAGGAGGCCTCTTAAGTTAAGGCTTTGACTCCTCAAACCAAGACCTACTACAGAACCTAACTACAGTTTAATCCTCCAGGAATGTATACTGTAAGCAGTCACCATTGGAATTGCCTTATCAACATGAAGAAATTAGCTGATAGACCCTTTCCCTTCCCTTTGGCAGAGTGATTTTGATGGAAACAGTGTATTCTTTACTGATGATTTCTTTCTCTCTTCCTCTAAAAACATGTCCATTCCTACAGCTCAGTGGAGCTCTTACTCTTCGCTAGATAAGATGCTGCAGAACTCAGGAGTCATTTAATAAAAACCAACCAGCTCTTTAAAATTTTCAGTTGAATTTTTTTTTAAACAGATAATATGCATTGTCTTTGCAGTGAAAGGTATTTAGGCATGAGATGGGGGGTATCTGATTCAGAAGTTCTTGAGGGAAGCCCTGATCCACTGACATCCCTGACAGTCACATAATCCTTCTGTGCTCACAGGAATAAAGTTTGTTCTCCAACTGCCCTCTGAAAATGTCCCAAATAGTTGAATTCTCCAACTGGATCACAGCTATCCTTAGAAATCTGCCCCTCAGGCTATTAAGTTCACATCACCCAAAATAAGCATGTATTCTCTCCCAGCCTTAGACATACAAATCTGTAATTCTGTTTTTAGATCTGCACTCAATCCACAGTGGTGTCTTGCTTACCAGCTCCTGGAGGAAAAGAGACTCCTGGTGTCAGAGTTGAGCTCTGAACGTGTCCCCGGGCAGCTCAGGAAATTCTGGGACTGGCTGAAGTGCTCCGTGCAGCCCACAGCAGGAGCACTGCTCTGCTCAGACCGGCCTTGCACTGGAACAGGTCCTGTGTGCTGGTATGATCACCACAGAGAGAAAGAGCAGATGGTCACCCCAAATGTCTAAACTGTGGGTGAGAAGCAGGCAGGATTTAAGTAGTAGCCTCTGGCCTCTGCTCCACCCTCACAGGAATCTGGCCACAGTAAAGAAGCAGCCAGTAGATGCAGGGCTCTGCATGTGCAGGAACAGAAAGTGAAACAAAGAGCTGCGGGCTCCTTTTCTGAGAAACATAGCAATTGCTGGGAAAGGATAGTGAAAGGCACCATGGCCATTGATTTTGTGTGTTTTTGGCATCATGAATGAGAGGAGGGAATAGGACCCCAGGCAGGAGGCCTCTCAGTAACCCCCAAAGGACACCCTAACCAGGCCCTGGGCTTCAGGCGAGGTAGAATTTGAATCCACAGTCAGAGAACATAGGCCTGAATCCTGGGAAAATGAACCTTGTGCTTTCTCTGTTAACCTTGGACAGCCCTCACTGTATGTGGAGTGAAGCCTAATAAAGACTCTATCTCTCTTTGTCCTTGGCTCCTGCCACAGAGGTTCAAAGACCCTGGGAATTTCCTGGGTGACAAGAGCTGACTTTGTTATGTTAATGAAGTGATTCAAGGCAGGATCTTAGATAGCTTCAGGTCAATGGCTGGTCACCAGGAAGACTAACCATGGGAACAGAGGGTGGAGAGTTTGGGCCAGCTGAACCTCTAGGGAGGAGAAGGGAGGTGAGAAAGGAGTACTCAGTCAAGTAGCCCATGATTTGATCAATCATATCTATGTACTGAAATCTCAATCAAAACTCTGCTAGGGTCAGTGGACTTCTTGGTTGATGTTTGCTCTGATGTTCCGGGAAGGTGATGTGCCCTATACCATGAGGAGAGATATGGAAGCTGAATACTTGCTCCCAGACCTCACCCTGTGTATTTCCTTTTAGATAAAACACTACTCCTATGTGTACAACTTTCCTGACTCATATGAATCATTGCCATCTATTAGCAAGCCTGAGAGGCTTATGGGAACCCTCAGATTTGTAGATTGTGGGTTCGAGATCCTAATGACCTAGTGAATTCAGCTAAATACAGCTAGTGTCTGAAGTAAGAGAAGTCTTTTGAAGGACTGAGCTCTGAAATCTGCCTGGGTGCTTAGTGCAGGAACGAGAAGGAGGTATACCCAGTTGGGCTGGAAATGAATAGGGAGTAAACTTGTGTCCCGGGGAGCCATATTCTGGCTTTAGATTTTATTTTTTTCATTTAGTTTTTGAATAAGAGTCCACTATATAGTTTGATAGTTTATAACTCAAGAGTTATAAGGTTTATGTAATGCTGTCCCCCCCTCCACACACACAATGTCCCTTTGTCACGTTTTTTTACCAGAGGAGACCGTGTCATTCTTATGAGTGTATTGAGCAAATATGTACTATCTATAGTCTGCTTTTTCCAAAAATGACAGCATTGCGTGAACAGTGTCCTGTATCCTCAGCTCTTTATTTGCTATTTGGTAATTGTTCTAGATGAACACACTCAAAGCTCCTCCTGCCTCCTGGCAAAATATTTTTATTAATGAGTTTTCAAGCAACCATTTATTTTAGTGACAAGTAATTCAAGAAATAAGGCTTTTGCGATCTACAGCTCAATAAAACTTTCAATGTATCATATGAAATTCTAGTAAACTCTGGTGAGTTTATAGCAATCCCTCTCCAACATGGAGTTTATTCCCCTCCTCACACCATGTTTTGGCTGAAGCATAATTAATATAAAACATTTTATTAGTGTTAGGGGCACAACATCCTGATTTGCAATGATGTGGATGGAGCTAGAGTGTATTATGCTAAGGGAAATACATCAGTCAGAGGAAGTCAAATACCATAAGATTTCACTTAGATGTGGAATTTAAGAAACAAACCAGAGGAGCATGGGGAAGAGAAAAAAGAATAAAAGAGAGGGAGGCGAACCATAAGTGACTCAATGATACAGAAGAAACTGAGTTTTGTTGGAGGAGAGTTGTGTGAGATGGGCTCAGTGGGTGTTGGGTATTAAAGAGGGCTCTTGTTATGATGAACACTGGTGTAGTATGCGTTTAGATCCCTAAATTCTACTCCTGAAACCAATATTATACTATATGTGAACAGAGTAGAATTTAAATAAAAACTTGAAACAAAAAGCCAAAAACATTTTATACATTACTTAAAGCTCAACACATCATGCGCAGTCACTGTTCGTCACCATACAACATTGTTCCAGTATCGTTGACCACGTTCTCTGTGTTGTACTATTCTCTCTATCACTGAATATTCTTTATAACTGGAAGTTTGTACCTCTTAATTTCCTTTATTTATTTCACCTTTGCCCCCACCCACCTCCCCTGTTTCAACTACCAGTTTGTTCTCTGTATTTAACAGTCTGTTTTGTTGTTGTTTGCTTGTTCAGGCGTCACATATAAGTCAATTTATGCAGTATTTGTCTTTTTCTTTCTGACTTATTTCATTTCCTCTAAACCATCCATGTTGTTGCAAAAGCAAGCTGTCATTTTTTTATGACTGAGAAATAATACATTGTGTATGTAAATATATATATATATCACATCTTGTGTATCATCTATCAATACATGTGTTGCTTCCATATCTTGACTATTGTAAATAATGCTGCAATAAACTTAGAGCTGCAGATATCATTTTGAATTAGTGTTTTTGTTTTATTTCGGTACATGCACAGTGGTGGAATTACTAGATTATATCGTGTTTCTGTTCTTAATCTTTTGAGGAATTTCCATACAGCTTTCCACAATGGCTGGATGAATTCAGTTCCCTTTGTTCCACATCTTCACTAGTTGTTATTTTTTATCTTTTTAATATTCTCCATTTGGACTGGTGTGAAATATCTCACTGTGGTTTTGATTTTCATTTCCTTAGTGATTAGGGATGTTGATCATCTTTTCATATCTATTGATAATTTGTATGCTTTTGGGTTTGTTATTGCTTTTGGACAGGCATAATGTCTAATCAGGTCCCCTGTCCATTTTTAAATCAGATTTTTTTTTCGGTGTTGAGTTGGGTAAGTTCTTCTTACATTTTCTACATTAACCCCTTATCGGATATTTTATTTACAAATACCTTCTCCCATTTACTGGGTTGCATTATATTTGGTTTATAGTTTCTTTCCCTGTGTGAAAGCTTTTTATTTCATTATAGTGACAATAGTTTACTTTTGCTTTTCTTTACCCTGACTGGAAAGACATATTCTCCAAGTATGGTGCTAAGGGAGATATCCAAGAGCTTACTGCATTTAATTTTTAAGGAGTTTTATGGTTTCAGAAGTCACATTCTGGTTTCTAATCCATTTTTAGTTTATTTTTGTGTATGTTGTAAAAAGTGGTCCAGTTTCATTCTTTTGCCTATAGCTGTCCAGTTTTCCTAATACAATTTATTGAAAAAACTGCTTTTTCTCTTTGCACAGTCTTGCTTCCTTTGTTGTACATTAATTGACCATATACCTGTGGGTTTATTTCTGGGTTTTCAATTCTGTTTCATTTATCTCGTTTCTATTTTTTGTGTCAATGCTATTTTAATTACTACTGCTGTAAAACTTGGCATCTGGAGTTGTGATGCCTCCAGCTTCATTTTTCTTTTTCAAGATTGCTTTGGCCATTGAGGTCTTTGTGGTTCCATACAAATTTTAGTATTGTTTGTTCCAGTTCTGTGAAAAATGCTGTTGGTATTTTGTTAGGGGATTATATTAAATCTGTTTGTTGCAATGCATTGTATAGATGTTTTAACATGTTTGTTCTTCCGATGCACGAGAATGGAATATCTTTCCATTTTTATGTGTCATCTTCATTCTTTCATCAATGTTTCATAGTTTCCAGGGTGCAGGTCTTTCACCTCTGTAGTTAAGTTTATTCCTAGGTATTTTATCATTTTTGGTGCAATTGTAAGTGGGATTGTTTTTTATAATTTCCCTTTCTGCTGTCCTATTATTATTTTATATAAACGCAATGGACTTCTGTACATTGATTTTGCATCCTGCCACTTTAGCCTTTATTCCTTTTTCTTTTCTGATTGCTGTGGCTGGGACTTGCAGTACTATGTTGAATAAATGTGATGAGAGTGGACAATCTTGTCTTCTTCCTGACCTTGGGGGAAATGTTCTCAGTTTTTCATGATTGAGAATGATGTTTGCTGTTTGTTTTTCCATATATGGGCTTTATGATGTTGATGTTTGCTCCCTCTAAGCCTACTTTGTCGATGATTTTTATATGAATCAGTGTTGTACTTTGTCAGTGTTTTTTTTTTTCTTTTTGCATGTACTGAAAATGATCCTATGGTTTTTATTCTTTCTCTTATTCATGTGACATATTACATTGATTGATTTACTTTGAATTATTTGAATATATTGAACCCCACTTGCATCCGGGAATAGATCCCACTTGATCATGGTGAACGATTTTTGTAATGAACTCTTGTATTTGGCTTCCTAATATTTTGTGAGGGTTTTGCATGTAATGATCATCAGAGATATTGGCTTGCAGCTCGCTCTCTCTCTTTTATTTTTGTTTTTATTTTATCTGATTTTGGTGTCAGGCTGATGTGGGTTTTATAGTATGAATCTGGCAGTTTACCTTCCATTTTTTTGGAATTGTTTGATGAGAACAGGTACTAGCTCTTCTCTAAATACTTGCAAAACTTCACCTGTGAAGCTGTCTTGTCCTGACTTTGGTTTTTGGGAGTTTTTTGATAAATGATTCAATTTCATGGCTGGGAATTGGTCTGTTCAAATTTTCTAATTTTTCTTTCCTGATTAAGTTTTAGGAGGTCACATGTTTCTAAATATTCATCCATTTCTTCTCTGTTATACAATTTCTTGGTATATAATTTTTCATAATATTCTCTTGCAATCCTTTGCATTTCTGTGGTGTCACCTGCTATTTCTCCTCTTTTAGTCCTGATTTTGTTTATGGGATGCTCTCTCCTCTCTCCCTCTCTCCCACAGCCCCTCTTTTTATGATTCTGGCTAGAGGCTTATCAATTTTGCTGATTTTTTCAGAGCAACTTCTCCTGGTTTCATTGATCTTTTCTATTGACTTTGGAGTTGTAGTTCATATAT